ACACACCAGAGGACACACACAGGGGAGAAGCCCTATGTTTGCAGCAAGGATGGACAAGGCTTTACCAATAAATTGCATCTCAGCTACCAGAGAACAAATGTAGCTACCACACACTCCATACCCCAGCTCTGAGGGAGGTTCAGAAGAAGCCTACTGACCCCTTACACTCCCCAAGAATATAATGAGAGCAGATATAACAGGTTAAACAAATCCTCTACTTTCAGGGCAAGAGATGAGGTATACAAACGGGGGAAGGTTCCTTGAGTGTTTCTGGGGATGTTGACGCCAATCCCCTCCATGGTTTTTTGGCCTCCTGTTCTAATAAATTTTGTGTGCATTCAAATCCAAACTCCACATCATGTACCTCTTCCCCCCTTATCACTGAAAGCAGAAGGGTCCAGGAGGGCCAGAGAACTCATGCTCTTGGCCCAGGTCTCCACAGGAACTTAACCCCTGGAAAGGTATAAAAGTCAGGAGTGAATCTAGTTAGACCAGTAGAGAATTTCTGGGCCAGGGAGAGAAATTTAAGATTTGAGACAGACTCATCAGGGAAGGGAATGCCCTAGTCTCCTGGGAAGCATGGTGTTTTCCCCTAATAGACGCCTGCCCTTTGCTGCCACCCTCCTCCCTTGGCTTCTCACGGCTCCTCTCTTGGTGTCCCTCCTCCCTTGTAGCCTCAGAGGTGAACACTGGGTGGGGGGAGGGACACACACGTGTGTATGTATACACACCTATGTGTATGTACATCCATGTGCCTGGCTCAGTCTGGGGCACTTCCTCTCTCTCACTCTCTCCTTGCTGGCATCAGGTGCACAGCACATGAATTCCATATCAGCCCACAGTGGGTTTGATTCTCAGATCTGCCCTCACCAGTTGTGTGACACAGAACAAGATACTCAACCTCTCTGTGCCTGTTTTATAAGCCGGAGAACGGGAATGGTGACCCCAGCCCTTGGTTTCATGTTCAAAGTTGAGTAAGCATAGGCAGAATCTGGTACAGAGATGCCAAGAATACAAGTCCCTCCCTCTTTGTTACTCTCTCTCTTGCACAACTTTCAATGCCCGTGTCTTCAAGGGCTTTAGCGCTGCACAAGGAAGATAAAAAGAGTAGGTAGGGTAGGGGGCGGGGAGCCAGATTCATAAATTGGACAGACACCAGTGCTTTCTCTGAACAGACTCAGCTACCCTGAGAAAGAGCTGTGAGGTCAGGGATGCAAAGTGGGTGGGTCCATCTCCCTCCAGGCCACTGCCCTTCCCACTGAGCCTGAGCAGCTCTGAACCCCCCTCAACACAGGCAGGCAGTACCGACAATAACCTGTAAACCCAGACGCTCACCCAGCCCTTCCTGAGAAGAGACTGTGGGGTCAGCATCCGCAGGAACTGGACGTACAGTAAGTGAGTCTCTGATCTCACTCACTGGCCCATCTGCATACAATGTTCACAGAGCCCATGGCTCAGCAGCTTCTACAGTACACTTACCTTGTGCCCGGGCCCCATATGGTTTAATGCACAGCTGTGGTCATCTGAAATTCTTAACTATTTTATCTTTAGACTCCTGCACGGTAAGTGAAGTCTGAAAGGACAGTGGAGCATGCCGTGAGCAGGGCAGATATGCACAAGTGAACGGCCACCCATTCACATGTAAGATCCACCCGCCCCAGGAGCACACAATTCCCAGGGACACAATGGGTGGAAGTAGCAAGACTGCAAGTGAACGTGAAATAAGCATGTTACATGCACCACTGGGTAAGCGGGGATGTTGACATCTTTTCTTAGAACCAGAACTGACTTCCAATACAAAGAGGAGGCAATGGTGTTCTAGGAAGCACAATGAACGAGAGCCACTCTCACATCCCTCCTGCAGGAGTTAGCTTCCTGCTTCTGAGGAATCGTATGCATCTCAGCCCAGTTCCTACTAGGATGGCTTCATGGAGGCTAAATCCCAAGTCCCACACTTTACAGGAGATACCAAAAGGAGTATGGGCCATCCAGGGGGCACCCAAACCCCATGACTTCCAACAGTGATCCTTCTGTCCCTCTCCCTATGCCTGGCTTGTGAACAGTCTCTACATAAACTATGTGGATTTCAATAATAAATATTCATTATGATTTTCTCTAGTCCCTTATGCTTTTGTAAGGGAAGGTGAGTATTTGTGGCTTTCTTTCCCTATAGGAAGAGGGGACAATTCTCTTCCCTGTAAAGCCTCATGCTGAGAAAGCAGCCCAACCCTCAATGTTCTGTGACTTTAGCATGAGCCATTGCAGAAGGGGCAGAGTTAGGAATAATGCTGGCAGAGGAGCTCACAATATAAGGGGAGGAGAAGCCCCAAGCTGCCAGGTGATTCCTGCCTCCATTTCCCACCAGAACTGACCTGAAACTCTTCTGGGAAGCTGATCACTTCAAGATGAGGACAGGTATATTCCTTCTTCCTCCCCTTCAGCAAAACCTCATTGCCAGTGTGGCCACCAGCCTGCAAGATGGCCCCCCAAAATCTACCTCTCATTACCACACCTTTGTGCACTCCCACCTTCACAGAACAGGGTTGACCTGTGCTGTGAAAATTACGGCGTATGACGCCCAAAGTGGCTTCAGCCTTGCTCTCACTATTTCACAAGGTCCCAGATCACCTCGTGCAATGAAGCTAAGTGTTAATTTCCCCCTCCTGCCCAACCGCCAGCTGCCGGCGGCCATCATCCTCATTTTGACGAGGAGGCTCAGAGGTATGACTGCTAACTGACATCCACTGGATTCCAAGTCTGTGTTCCCTGGTAGACAGCTGAGAAGCCCTTAGCTGAGGCCACTGTCCTGTTCCTGTGACACCTGGTGGGCCTCTGCACCTGCTGGCTTCCCAGCACCTCCCCCTGACACTGTGATTGCCATGGACGCGTAGGTCAATAGTCCTTGGGCCACAGGATGTCAGCAGCTGAGGCAACAGAACAGTGTGGCCAGCGGCCTCTGGCCCACACCACTCTGTGACCACAGCACATACCACAGCTATGGCCGGCCCCACCTGCTTTCTGCTCTGCTTGTCTGCCATCCAGGTAGGGACATTACCGGCTTCTTTGGGAACAATAGCTGGGCAGGTGAGGGCATCACTCACCAGGACAGTTGACAAAGAACCCAGAACCGCAGAACACTCTCCACATCTGGGGTGAGGACAAGCCTAACCAGAAGCCAAGCAACACAGGAGAGTAAGCTTATCTGAAACTTACTAAATTTGTCTTCGATTCTCAGACTCCACTCCATCTGGCCCCAGTCCTATTACCCAGCCAGTATCTGAAACAAGACCTATCACTGTGGAGTAATGTCACCCACAGATGCTGTCCTCAAAGATTATTAAACTGTTTAAAATTTACTAAAGACAGTTTTTTAAGATACTTTTTTATAAGAGGCTATTAATCTCATCACCCAGAGAAAAATCCTGTAACATTTTGATACATGCACTTTAAGATCTTATTTTGCGGGGCCCCTGGGTGGCGCAGTCGGTTAAGCCTCCGACTTCAGCCAGGTCACAATCTCGCGGTCCGTGAGTTTGAGCCCTGCGTCAGGCTCTGGGCTGATGGCTCAGAGCCTGGAGCCTGTTTCTGATTCTGTGTCTCCCTCTCTCTGCCCCTCCCACGTTCATGCTCTGTCTCTCTCTGTCCCAAAAAAAATAAATAAACGTGGAAAAAAAAAAAAGATCTTATTTTGCAAGCTCTCATACTTAAAAAAAAAAAAAACTTAAGGTTTATTTATTTTTTGAGAGAGAGAGACAGAGTGCGAGCAGGGGAGGGGCAGAGAGAGAAAGGGAGACAGGGAATCCTAAGCAGGCTCCAGGCTCAGAACTGCCAGCACAGAGCCTGATGCAGGGCCCGAACTCACGGAACCTCGAGATCATGACCCAAACCAAAGTCGGACGCTTAACCAACTGAGCCACCCAGGTGCCCTGCTCTCATACTTCACAGCAACAACTTGGTTGTTTTTTTCTGATAATGTGCAGTGGCTATGATTTTTAAAGTTAAGAAAACACAGGGATGCCTAGCTGGCTCAATCGGTAGTAAATGTGACTCTTGAGTCCTGAGTTTGAGCCCCACTTTGGGTGTGGAGATTACTTAAAAATAAAATCTTTAGGGGCGCCTGGGTGGCTCAGTTGGTTAAGCATCTGACTTCAGCCCAGGTCG